GGAGGAGGAGGAGGAGGAGGAGGAGGAGGAGGAGAATGGGAGGAGGAGGAGAAGGAAGAGGAGGAGGAGGAGGAGGAGGAGATGGAGGAGGAGCAGGAGGGAGTAGGAGGAGGAGGAGGACGAGGAGGAGGAGGAGGAGGAGGAGGAGGAGGAAGAGGAGAAGGAGGAGGAGGAGATGGTGGTTCCCATACGAGCTGCGGCTCGCCGAGCGCCTCCCCGTGGCGCCCGGCTCGACACGAGCGGCCACCAGAGGCCAGCTTTGTGTCCCGAGTTACGGGAGATGGAGATTGGCTCGGGGGGGGATGCATGGACCCAAAATCGTCCGCTCACAACTCAGTTGCGGGCAATACTTCTGTCCATGTCCACTGTGATATGGAGCTTCGGGTTCCCTTCCCCAGAAGCCAGAGGCGCGCTGGATATGGATAAATTTGCCCCCTAGAGGCTCGATTTTTATCCATACCCAGTGCGCCTCGGCCTTGTGACGCTCCTTCCCAAAAAGTCCAAGACGCACTGGATATGGATACGAACTTTGCCCGCATCAGTATCGTTCAACCGATTCCCACCCCCAATGCTCATCCCCCTCGAGACCCCCACCAAATTACACCCCCAGTCGGGGATACACACCCCTCTAAACCCGAGGCATGCGGCCTATATCCCCATCCAGGGGGGTAAAATCGGCCAGTGGGGTCCAGCCCACGCTGATGGGGATGGGGATCGGTTCAAGGATATTCAACAACCCATGGGGCCCCGGCAGCCCACGACCGCCGGTGAGCGGGCGGGTTCGCCATCGGGGACGCCTCGCCGATCTATGTCGGCGCTGCAGCGCCGAGTCCAGGACGATGTTTTCCCCCCTTGGACGAGAGTACACCCTAGGCGATGCTTAAGAAAACCCAAGTTTTCGTCCAGGGTCTCGATTATTCTTAACTTTTCAATGTAAATCCCAAGATTATGATAGAAGTTCTGGGTTTTCTTCAAGTTCCGAGACTATGAATTTCTTAACCCATGATTTCTTAAGCATTTCGCAGGGAGCAGCGCGGCCCCGGAAGAGGAGGCGGAAGAAGGGCCCAGCCGCCGAGTCGGCGAGCGAGCGGTGCGCAGGCGGCCTCGGGCACCGAGGATGGTGTGCTCGGCGGTCGCACGCAGGAACTGCCCTCGGCCAGCGTCGAGCTCCGGCGCGCGCTGGAATCCGCTGGTTGGAGGCCGGTCGCCAGCGTCTGAGGCCCGCGGCCTCCTGTCCGAGGGAGTGGCTTCGGTGGTTTGCCCTCTTTTGAGGGCGGCACGGCCTGGCAGATGTCCCGCGTGACATTGCACGCCTGCCCCCCAGAGAGAGGCTTCGAGCGGCCCCGAGATTCGACGAGCGAGTCCTCGAGCTGGAATCGGCGGTACATCGCCGACAGGGCGGCGAGGGCCCTCCGATGGCAGTTTCCGCGCACTCTTGGGCTGGGCAGCGTTGCCCCACAGTCCAGAGATCACCATGCCGGGTGGTGCAAGGGGGGTCACCAGCAGGGGGGTCACCACCTCCTTGTGGACATCAAGGGTCGGGGAGGAAGGAGGATCGAGGAGGTTTTGGAAGCGTTGGCGTCGCTGGGAGTCCTGGAGGGCTCTGGGGGTGCAGGTGGGTCAGTTTCCTGGCGTAGGTGTGGCGACCCCCCCAGCGGTGACCCCCCTCAGCATTGCCTGGATGAAGAAAATGGGGTCCTGGAGTCAAGGGGTCACCCTGGAAAGTTGGCGTCAACATGGGGTCGTCTTCACCGACGCTGGCGCGTAAACGGCCCGCGTGATGTCGCGCGTTAGCGCCCTCTCGCTCCCAATGCGGCGCGCCACGCTGGCGGCCCGCGTAAGCTGCGGCTTACGGTCGCCATGCCATAGGCCTGGCATCGCTCGGACGTGTGCAGTTTTCCTTCGGCGAGGACCATCGAGGAACATCCTTGATCATTTCGCGAAAAACCGCGCACGAAACCGAAAAAAAACACAGGGAATGGACGTCCGAGCGATGGCGAGTAGGGCGTAAGACCCGTTCCTTTTCGTCGCTGGCGTGCGCGCCGCGCGCAGAGTGCGCCAGGTTCGCTCGCGCACGTCACAGCACACATCGGGCAAATTCGAAAGGCACTGCGAAGTGACGGCGGGCTTGCCAGTATTGTGTGTTGTGCGTTTGTGTGTGTGTGCACCCGCAGTCACTTTACATGGGTCTTTGACAAGGATTCAAGGATGGTGGGCCTGCGTGTAGCGAGCAATAAAATGACACCTCCGCCGTCCCTGTAGCAAAAACAAAGCGAAGCGATTGCGGAACGCCCGAGCATGATTTACATCAGGAGGGAAAAACGCACAGACACAATTAATCATCGAGCCCCCAGAAAATATGGGAAAATCTGGGAAGTGGGCCAGAAGACAAAAACAAAGAAAATATTGGAAAATATTGGAAATCCTATTATCTGTGTCTGCGTTGGTTTGGGTTGGTCGCCGGTCGAGTGGGGGTGATGCAATCCTTCCAGGGGGGAGCAATCGTGGTGGATCAACGAACTCGTGAAGCCCCCTGCGCCTTGGAGGGCTTGCTGGACCTGTGGAGCCTCTGGCAGGCCCCTCCCGCTGCCCTCGAAACCGTGGCCAGAGCACACGTCAGGAGGCGTCGGGGTTGGGGTGGGGGA